CAATTAATTATGAAATCCCTGTCCCAATGCGAACTGCTTTTTCTTGACTTGTCTCACTTTGAACTCTTATGTACATATATGACCAAATGAACGCTTTAAACGCTGTCAAAATTTCAGCAGACAAATAGAACAAATAAATATAAATTCAAGTGGTCAAAGCCAAGTAAAATTCGATATCTTTTCATGAACGCTTGATGTTTTCGTTTAATTTATTTTCAGTTAATTAATGAAATTGCTGTCTGCGGAGTCGGCTCAAAATTATGAAATATGCCTTAATATTATTGTGAAATTTATTAATTAAGGCTACATAAAAAATGGATCATTTTTGGGTTTTTCACTTTTCGGCTTTTTCATATTTTAAAAAAGCTTTAATAAGTTTTTTTTTTAATTTTTTCAGGATTTCTTGTCGGTATTTTGTGTCTACTATGTTTCGTGTTTGCATTGTGCCCTTTGTATCACCTCAGCTCATTTACGTTTATATGCACATACGTGTATGTCAACTGGCAAAAATCGGTACTTAAGCACTTCTCATTACAATTGTATTCCAGTGAGTGGCGTTCCCATGACTTACATATATAACTCTTTGAGGATAAGAATTTGGTTAAGGCATTACACATTTTGTAAAATAAATTGTAAAAGTCAATAAACAAATTATCGGATCAGGATAACTTGATATTGAGTATGTTTAGCCCACATTTGAAAAGTCTTGACCCTACAATAACAAAGTGGATTTGTTTGTTCTAACTGTACTTTTTTATCAACGTAATCTCAATCAATAGCCAGACAGTCATCTCAGTTCCGCACTTCAGCACTAAAATTGCAATACCGTTTGTGTAAAACGATTTAGCTTTGGTCACAAAATGGGTCTTAGACACAGCGATAAACTCCTCATTCTAAGGAAATTTCTTACCGAAGAGCATTTATCTGAAATCTTGGAAGAAGCTAGTAATCCCGGAGAACAAACTTGGAAAACTTATAACCTATTCAGTGTTGATGGCATTTCTCTTCTCTTCTTAGTTAACGAATATTATACGGCATATCGAGAGCATAACCTTTACAGCCTTTTTCTGTGCTTTTGGGTTAACATGTTATAACATGCCTAAATATTGCATAGAATCATCACGTCCACAATGATAGCAGTAATCACGCGAAGAGACCCAAAAAAGAGTCCCTCAGACATTCAACGTGAAATTTTGGATGAATTCACGGTTCAAATATCGAAATGAATAATTGCACGGCGCTTGGTCGAATCTGGGCTTCATGGAAGAGTAGCACGCAGGAAATCGCTTCTGACCAAAACCATATGAAAATTTCAACAGTATAACGATCCAAATCACACCACAAAGTTTACGAAAGAATTTTTTTTACGAATATTCCATCAATGATTTAGAATGGCCATTATCCAGTCCAAACCTGAACTCTCTGGGGTGATATTAAAAGAGTCGCTAGTGTTGAAAATATCTAGAAAATTGTTGTCCTTTTTGAGGTAGTAAGAATGGCATGGCAAGCAACAACAGTGGCGCGTTGTCGAAATCTTATAACATCAATGCGAAATCGGTGTGAGGCAGTGTTGAAAGAAGGGTTATGGAACCAAATACTAACTAAAATAAAACATATTATGTTAATGCGATTACTTTTTCCTGATAAAATATTTTCGTTTCTAATTAGGTGTCGCACTCAATTCATGGATTTCACTTCTTTCTGTAAAAAAATGTGCAAAATTTAATAAATTGCTTAGAATATCATTTTAGGTTTTAATTGTGCTTAAATAAAATTAGAAAACAAGCAATGAAAATACGTACTTTAATGAGCAAAAAGTTCATTCAATTTCAAATAAGCAACGTTTCTAATTTGCTGTCAAATAGTATAGCTGTAAAATGGCGTCTTAAGAATAGCTTGCGGATTGCCATCACTCATTCACTCATCGCTGAATGAAATATCCTTGTATTATCATTCAAAATAAAATCCGTAGTAAAAATTTTTCTTCGTTTAAGTAAATCAACACCTGCTGTTTTCTGAGACTTTTTTTTCTAATTTAAATTTTCACATTTTTTTGATTTATTTTAATTCGTTATTTCGGTATTTTAGTTCTGGTTTGGGGTCTATAAAGCGATTTAAAAATAATAATAAAATGATAAAAAATATACAAATAAAAAAAAGATTCTTAGTTATAATATAGTTTTACGTTTCAACGAAAAAGGAGGGGAATTTTCGGTATCTTTTTTACTTCCATTTTCTTTGTTTTACCGGTTGACTTTGGAGATTGTGGTAAGTATTCCACCGGATAAGTGGTGAGTATTTCATGATGAGGATAAGTATAAAATTGGATGTATGTTTGTATACTTAAAATGAGTATATTATTTTTATGTTCTTATAATTTTTTATTTTTTCATATTTCTATAAGATCAATACCCATGTCTTCGATATGCCGGCGGACATGCGGTGACGTGACTTGGACCAAGTCTTGAAGTTGTTGCAGTATTTCTCGGGCTTTATTGACCAAACCCCGGATTCGCTTTTAGAGGACAGGAGATTTGCAGCCTCGGTGAGTTCTTTTGTCGGCTCTGCGGCTTTGATGACTTGGAAGATGTTCCTTAGGTAGTCGGAATGTTACTTCCCTTCCCGCTTTGGGTGCGAATGTCGACTACGCGGACATTTTGATCGGGCGAGGGATGTAGGTTGATTATACGTCCCAATTTCCAACCATTTGGAGGTAAGAGATCATCTGAGATTTACATTTAGGTTTAACCATTTTTACAGCTTTTGGAGTGCGTTTAATACTAATATTTCTCGAGTTTGCTGAATCGTTGGTGAAGTTCCTTCAGCTTTTGCCTTTTATTAATTAGAGACAAAGAAAATGACCAAAGTCATTTAAATCGTCCGGGTCGTGTGACATTGTAGGCAGTGGTCTGGAGTTAAATACAGAAGAGGCCGTTGATTGCGTATATCTGTGGAGACTTCTGCTACAAACGCTGCCATTTCTTTGCTGAACACTCGGTTTGCTCCAATAAACGTACAGCCGCGTCGTCCAACGAAACGAGCAAATGCTGCTTTAAACGGTTCTGTGTTTAGGTCAGAGCAAAACTCGAGATGTATGGCCTTTGAAGAAAGCACACGAAGACACAGATGGATGTATGGCTGTAAGAAGGATGCTCGCCGAAGCGTTGATGTTTTGATGAGAAATGGTTCAGCAAAATCCACGCCAGTAGTTTGGAAGGGTAGCGAGTTAGTTGCTAACGTAGCCATCATTTGGGACTTAGTTTGAAAAGGGTGCAAGGCTTGCAATGAAATATGCAGGTTTTTATTCTTTGCTTTACTCACCGTATGTATTAGTCTTGTTGAACTATGCGAATAATTAATTGCTTTTCCGCGTGAAGAAGTGTAGAGTGATAGAAGGGCAGAATAAGAGTACATAGTCTGGAGTCGGTTGGGATTATAATGGGAGAACGTTCATTGTAGATGATTTATCTAATAAAGAGTTCAAAGTCAACAACGAGTGCTTTTTGCTGATAGCCTCTGCAGCTTATAGCGCGGAAATCGTTGAGCTGCAGTACCGTTGCTAGGCATTCCGGATGAGAAGGATCTTTGACTGTTTCATTTTTTTATGAGTTAATGTTAACGAAGGGAACCGTCTTTCCTTGTTTATAAATCTGAGAATGAAGACTATAACTCTAAGGGCTCTTGGGTAGGACTCTCCAACCGCTCTAAGACATCAATGTTTTCGTCTGTTTGTCGCTGTTCCGGAGGTAAGGAGTGTGCTAGGGCAATTTTCGGCCAGAAAACCCGTGATTAGAAAAAAATATATTTCATGTATTTATTATATTTTTTATTATTTCTATATCCCCATCGTTTCTAATTCATTAGCCAAAGCCAAAGTTTTATTTAAAAATCCAATAAGCTAAACCAATGTTTCTAATAAAATCCATATGGAACGAATTTGCTGAATATTACTTCTTTTGAAGCGTAAAAATAAGCTTATTATTGAGGAAAATATGTACTTTGGTTGGCACACACAAATGCTGAATATGACAGCGAATAAAAGTATTAAGCAACATCCACTGTCCCTCTGATACACCCATCCACTCATACACACACACACACACTCACTCACTAAGTCAACTCAACTGCTATTGTTGTGACAGTAGCAACCCCAAGCGCCGATGCCATCAACCCCACCTGTCACCCAATACAAACAATACCGTAAATTCAACCAATTCTGCCGCTTAGTGGCCAAACACCCACTCCAACCCACACCAACAGCTCAAATATATTTATGTATGTATGTATGTGGTACTTTATCAATTCAATTCAATTTCCTCCAATTTCAATGCGATACTTTTTTCAAGTTGCTCTGCTTTTATTGTGTGCAAGAAGTGCTATTTCGTCATTTTACTTTTACCTTTTTACTTTTTTATTTTCCTTTTCCCTTTTTTTTCTTCTTCGAGTATCCAAATGTCATTTTTTATTTCACTTTCTGTGCATTTATACTATTTTCCCTCTCATCCTGTCACATTGCACATCACACAATATGTATGAGTACATAGGAGTTCGTAAAAATGTGTATGTATGTATATATATATATCGTTGGGTGTACATACATATGTTTGTACATATAAGACACGGCTGCAGCGCTCTATACCAGCCAACATGTAGCCAATGAGAAGCGTTTAAACTGTTACTGTTATAAACAGCACCAAGGCTTGGATCTAATGCATACAGATATGTGTATAAATACATACACCTATATATGGTATATAAATACATATGTACATATGCATATTGCTAGCTTCGAAAAGAAAAACTTTTGCCACATGCCCCTAGTAGTCGCCCACCACACTCCATCACAAAAGAGGTTATGGCACATAAAAACCCATACACCAACATATATGAGTGGAAATGTGCATGAGTTAGTTACGTGTGTATGTATGTATGTGCAATATACGTGTACATATGCTCGCAAGTGTTTGAATGGAAGATAAGGAAAAGGCGTAAAGGAAGTGTAGGGAAAAACGGTTCGAATCAATTGAATTTCATATATATTTTCCAATTTCTTTTTAACTCGCCATACCAAGCCACGGCACACGCCACTCAACACGGCCCGGTCACGTTCTTATATACGAGTACATGCCTACATACTCGTACTCGTACAAACACTCGACACAACATGTCAAACTCGTCCGTTCGTCTCTCGTCCTCTCATTTCGTTTAGTTTCCAATCGGTTGAATTGTTGCGTTCGCTTTGGGTTCGCTGAAAATTTTTTTTTTTTTTTATTTAAATTTTTCATTGATGAATTCAATTTTGGCTCCTTACCGTGCAGTTTCTTTTCTATTTTCCTTCCGTTCATTTTGCTTTTATTGTCCTTTGCGCGCATTTTCCATGCCAATTGTTTTATTTTCAATCTGAAAAGTTTTCGCACATTTTTCATCATCAGCATTTGGGTGTGGCAACAGATTTTCGTTTGAAATTTCAATTCGATTGTTTATGCTTGGCATCGGCGGCGGTGGTTGGGCATGGGCGGAATCACTTTCGAAAAGATACAATTTCGGTTTACGCAGTTTAATTAAAAGTATTGTTGTTTGTTTTCGGTAAACTTTCACGAATTTGTTATATTGTCAGCCGAAATGAAAACAAATGAAAAATTAAGGTTTTTTTTTTTGGTTTATTTTGGGAAAAAAGTTTTCATTTATTCAAATACTTTCTAATTAATTTCGGTCGCATTTATTTTACTATTCAAAAATTACACGAAATGTCTGGCTTTTTTTTCTATACTCACCCCAGATTATATAATTTATTTATAATCCAAAAATTATTTATATGAAAATTAAATGCCAAAACTCAAAACATTTTCACAAATTTCAATTACTCAGATTTCATCTGTTGAAACGAATTTAGCGTCTCTGTAAGATTGTTAAGCCCGAAATTTGGACTCCAACTTTGAGTTCAGTAGAAGTGGCTACAAGCTTGTGGCTCAAACACTTAGGCCTTATGGCTGATTGTGATATAACTTGAGGAGGATATCACGAACAATACAGTATGATTCATAAATATTTTAGGATTTGAAATTCCTGTTGCGATTAGCTCAACGAGACAGTCGAAACAGTATTTTCCGTGGCAGCGTTCTCGACTGGTGTAAAACAGGGAGCGTTTATTAAAGAGAGAGACCGGGACGTGCCGATTGCCATTTGTGCCACCTACGGGATTGCTAAGAGACTATTTCACCGCTAGTCAACAGCGAACTACCAGAGACTGACTGAATGATATTTGGGAGATAATTATTTTATTCATTTATTATTATATAACTCAGAAATGTTGACAAACAGAGTAAATTTCTGGCGGCAGTGGTGACATAGTCTCTTTATTTCTTTCGTCGATTCTGGCAGTTTACACGCCGCCCGCGTGTTCTGGTGTAAAATTCGTCAAACGCAAACTTGGGAATTTTGTCGCTTGTACTAACGATTATGCGATCCTCTAACTCAAACATGTTAAAAGTGTTAAAACTGAAAAAACATTAAAAAATACATCAGGTGTAGTAAAAAAAATCCATTATTTTTCCTACAGATGGCATTATTTATCGGTATCTCGCGTTGTATAAGTCCGTTCGGGTTCCACCAGATGGAATTTGAAAGATGTCATTTCGTACTTTAAAAGCTTTTCTGACAGTTTTGTGATTGGTTTGATGCAGTTTTATTTGAGCTCCTGCCAATAATGGACACTAGCAAAGAGAAAATACGCTATATATTACAGCATTCCTTCGATATGGGCGAAAACGCAAGCCAGGCGGCTGAAGATGTGAATAACCTTTCTGGCCCTGATATTTTTACAGTCAATCATGCGAAATTTCGGTTTTGTCCCAGTAATTTTGATGTAAAAGATGCTTCACGGAGTGGAAGGTCAATTATCGAAATTGTCTAGAAAATTATGGGCCGTCAGGTAAGCATTGTTTCGATAGCCTAAGAGCTAAAGATTGCACTGTTTGGAACCATTTGAATAATGTTCAATACGAAAAGTAAAAAATTAAAGCCTTCAATTTCATGCAAAAATAATTACTTTCTTATTAAATTTTGATTTTTTAGCTATTATCTTTTTGGCAACCCTGGTTTAAACAGCTGACGGACGGTTCGTTATTTGTATCACAGTCTTCAGTTTGGTCTTTAATTTAACAATGAATCGTCTGACAAACGAACAACCCATGCAAATTATTGAATTTTATTATCGAAATGCGTGCTCTGTTAAGAAAGTTCATCAGGCGTTTCTTCCGCGCGGGCTTCGAAGCTCATTTTTGGCTTAATGGGTGCGTTAATAATCATAATTGTCGATTTTGGAGTGAAGATCAGCCAGAAGCATTGCTCGAGCTACCAATGCATCTAGAAAACGACACAGTTTGGCGCGGTTTATAGGCTGGTGGCATCATACTGACCGAACTTTTTCAAAAACGAGGCGAATCGTAACATAAGTGTGAATGGTGAGCGCTACCGTGAGATGATATTAAACTTTTTTTGCCCAAAATGCAAGAGCTTGACTCGCATGACATGTGGTTTCAACAAGACGGTGCCACATGACATACACCACGCGTAACCATGTACCGCCTAGATCGTCCGATTTAACGCTTTTAGACTTTTTTTTGTGGGACTATGTTAAAACTAATATCTATACAGACAAGCCCGCTTCAGTTGACGCATTGGAACACAACTTTGAAGCTTTTATTCGTGAGATACCGGCCGAAATGTTGGAAAATTGAATTAAGCGGACGAACCATTTGAGGCGCAGTTCCGGTCAACATTTACATGAAATAGTCTTAAAAGATTAAAATAATGATTTCATGAATTTTTTATGTGTATTTTATTGATATATATGACTATATAGCTCTGAAACTCAGTTGCGTTCAAGTGAAAAGTAACCTCCACTTCCCCAAGCAAACTTCTATCCAATGATGAATGGTACAATACCTTCTCATCGTGGGATAAATCGTATGGCAAGTACTCGAAAGCCATTATTGATTTTAATGCTATTTTTCTTTTTATATTACTTATGTGATTTTCCGATTTACTCTGTCATACTTTATTCTTAATAAAATGCCAATATTTTGTCGATGGCGCTGACAACTTCAACTTCGTTGGTTAGCTAGAAATTTGTCGAGTACGAATTACGACAACGATAGCGAATATCGTTCAAATAAGTACACGAACCGATAAAGAGAATCTCCCCACTGATTGTAGCTCGGTTCTTAGACCATTCAATAATAGACGGTTAGAGATCATATAATCAGCTATTCTGCGCATTCAATGATAGAGCTCTGCTTGGAAGGCGCTACGTGGTCCGGTAGAAAGGATGGTTGTAGCTTCTTCTTCTGGGGCGTTTAAATTTCTTCATTCGCGACATTGTAGGGAAGGTAATTTCGAAGCGTGCCCTGTCCTTAGTCTCTGCTAAACAGAGTTGAATTCAGTTTGCATCGTTAAAATTGAAAGCAGCTGAACTCGGTATCAAGTGTCAAGACTTTTGTGCAGTTTATAAAAAAATTACGAAACGGCTTTTTACCTTTGTATAAAACAGATTGTATCCTCGTAGAAGCGATTTTTTGCCGACCTCCTCGTCTAACTTGTGGTTTTGTGTCTTGATGTTTCTCCAACAAATGGAGGGACCTACAGTTCATACTAGGCCACGTCCCAACGGCTGATGGTTTTTTTATGAGGAGCATTTATATCACACTTGAAGGGGTTGACATTCCCTGCCGAGGGGCGAACGCAATTATAAAATTTAAACTCAATTTTTTATTGTATTTAAATTAATTTTCTGTAACTCCTTGGATGTTAGTACGACACTTAAGCCAAAGCCTTTCGAATGACAGTACGCAATGCTAAGCACACGGCTATTGCGGCCACCAAAATTAGTAGGAGGACCTATCTGAGTTGCGTATTTAGCTTTTTCGATATTTTATTTACTTACTTAATTGGAGAAACAAAGTAGGATCAGGTCCTTCTCTACCTGGCTATGCCAACGAATTGGAGGTCCTCCTCTTTCTTTCCTTCCACCGACGGGCACTGCATCGAGCACCTTCAAAGTTGGCCAGTTTACATTGAGTTTTAAACAAGCAGCCTGGACTTAGCCTTAAAAATAAAATACTCCTATATAATACAACAATTAAACCGATATGGATGTTTGAAGTCCAGTTATAGAGCTCAGCTTCCCCAACGAATATACATTTAATAGAGATAATAAAGATATAAACATACCCACCATCACAGAAGAGATGGAAACCGCAGCACAAAAATACTTAATAAAACTGCGTAACCATCCGGAGAACTCTAACCCGCCTGCGGAGAAGAGACAAACTAACCTACTAAAGAGCAATGTCAAGCCAGCCGATCATACCTGTTAATGGACTTTATGTTTTGTTTCGTCTAAAATTTTATTACTTTTTATAAGGCTTCTGATTTTAAAGCAGATTCAATAAATAAACACCTATTTTAATAAAAAGAAGATAAAAACTCGCTTTGCTGACTACTCAGAGATCGGCAATCGTAGGCTGCGAATGTGGGACAACGATTCCACAGAAAGCATTATTCTTCAATTTTTGGCAACAAGATCTTTTTATGCTTGAGCCATTAGACTTGAGCCGACACTCAACCAATTTATCAATTAAAAAATTTATCCATTTTTTTTTCACTTACAAAAACTCAAACCTTAGGGAGTTAAGCTACTTTTGTATTTCATTCTACTTTCAGTACCTAAGAGTGTCTTTGCTGAGCCATGTCCACTTCAACCACGCGCAGGTTTTAGTTTCTATTTCCCCTTTGCTGGCTGAAACCCATCATAGTTTGCAAAATTTTCAATATTCACTGCTTAAAAAAGTTGTAAATTCACTCAAAGCAAATGCAAAGTGGACTTGAGAGTTAGGATTTTTTCATTGTTCACGCATACTTAGTATGTGCATTCGTACATACATATTCACCAAATACCACAAAGACGTCGCACAATAGTTTTTGATTAAGTTTTCAAAGCGAATTTTACGCGCATAAGTACTTAAGAGCCTAAAAACAAATAACCGCGCAGCAACTAGTTACTTTGAGATGACTCAGTACACAAAAGAAGGGTAATAATGTAAAGCGCGAGTACAAAAGGAATGATTAAGTACTGAAAGTTCTTTATAGTAACAAAGTCTGCTCACAGCGCCTGCAAGCGCTTAAAAGTATGCTTTAAATATTTAATTATAAGCACGTTGTGTGCCTTGTGGTTGCTGCCGTCCTCCTCTGCCGTTCTCCTCTGCCGTTCTCCTCTGCCGTATATACATACAATAAAAAAGAAGACCAAATAAATAAATCTTAAGTTACAAAACTTTAAGAGCAAAAATATGCATAAAAAACGAAAAGTTTCACTTAAAGCGCCTTGAAGTAGGCAAACACTGACCTCACTGCCAGTCATCGATTCTTTGCGCGCGGCTTGGTAGTTGAGTGTGCATAGCTTTTGCTTCTTAAGCATATTTTTGTTGCGTAACTGTAAAGAAAGAATCGCATTTATTCTTATACATTTTTTAGGACACAGGGTCAATGGTGTTCCTGGTTGACGTGGCGTGAGTGTGGGTGCCTAGTCTGGTCAAGCGCTTTAATGGCGTTTGCTAATTTAATTTGGTCGGGGCGCGTCGTGGCGCGTTGCCGCCATTATTGCATTTTTA